GTAATTTACAGTGTGGGGCAGTTTCAACCACATTTTTCAGTAGCTTTGTGGTAGGTACACACATGCAGGTGATTCCCCAACAAGCTAACATAACACCTAGCAGTTTAAAAATCTCAAACAGGTGAAAACACTTGCGAGCAACTTGTCAACAGCTAACTACAGAACATAAAGCAGGGAAGAGGTGCTAAAATAAATAAAAAATAAAACAGTCGGATATTAGATTAGGAGAGAAAGGGACAAGATGAGAAAAGTTGAGGCATCTCCAGTTAGCAACTTTGAAAATATAGTCTAAATATTTTTGTTTATTTACCAAAGTGGTACTCAGCCTTGTTAGACTTAAGAGACACATTGACCAAAAGATATTTCTGCAAGAGCTACAATCAAAAACAACTTTCTTTCCTAAAATATGTGTGGGAACACAGTGACACGACTTGCAAAGAATGAATTCTGCTGACAACGTTTCCCTTTTTTAAATAATTACTTTGGATTTTTTCCAAGTAGCCTAGGACCTAAAAGAGTCACAACTAGTCCCAAATGAGACACATGTGGCTCAAGAGCATCTCGGGTTGAGTATCACTGACTTACCAGTTTAAGGACTTCAGGCTGTTTTTACTCACAAAACATTGTTTGGCTGTCACAGAAACCTTTCACCATATCAATAGACTAGTATGCAAATGTATTCAGTTTTCAGAAGCTGGCCAAGAAGCCGACACAATTAGTAGGCAAAGTTTATCTATGTAGCACCTTTCAAGAGCAGACGTCAAAATCAAAGATTAGAAAGGCAAACCAAGAGATAGCAACAGAAAATAAAAAGACAATTAATTAAAGGAGACATTGACAGATAAACAAAGTGTTGATAAAGCTCATCGTTACAGAGCACCCCAACCAAACAAACAAAAATACTTTGACTGCGACCAAAATTGGTTTATACGTTTTTTTTTTAAATTGATAATAATATACATGTGTGATAAATAAAAATAGCAGAGATGTAACAAGCTACTTTTGCGTGTTGCTGTAGCTCAGCTTGATTCATTTCCCCCAGAGCTTTGGTGTTGATGAAGCCGAACTTTATGTAGAGTAACCAGTAACTCACTACTGGTGTGGTCATTTGCCATATAAACCCATATTGACTCTCCTCTCAATCAAAACTATTCTGACTTGTTGTTAATCAGACAGCATGCTCTCTGTGTTCAGTGACAGGCGGAGGTGTGACTGTGGGAAGGCGAGGACTTGGTTCAGGCTGAGCACAGCCGAGTCACACTTCATCACCTCTTCTGGTGTCTGTGATGACACCACGATGAGCTCAGGCAGAGTTCACAGGAGCATGCCAGCAGTCCCACTCTACACATGAACTTTGAAAATACAACAACAAGTTTTGAAAAGTAACATCATAATCTTTGCATTATGATGAAACTTGGTTTAAAAGTAGCAAAATTAGGTACATTTCTGCATTTTTTTAAATAAAGAAATTGTAAGGATGTTTTCAGAATCAGAATTCAGGTTTATTTCTAAGGAGATTAACTCTTTCAGGGATTTACAACATAGAAATAGAAAGCAAGTAAAGCAGAACTCAGATGAACATAAATAGAATAAAACAAACAAGCCTATTTAAGTAGAATCAGTGTATGAGAGAAGTATGGCTGTGTAGAGCTGTACAGTAGTGTTGGAACGTGCAGGATGATGGTTGACTATTAAAACATTATTGTATGAAATACAGAGACTATGGGCAGTGAAAACAGGCAATAGTCAGTGTGCAATGCATTTATGTAACAAATAAAGTCCACAAGGGAACAATATTTATCTGTCGTTTATGTTTATCATTTTAAAAATGACTTTGACCTACTATTACATACTGAATGTGAATCATCCACACAGCATTGAATGATTTGTTTGTGCAATGTTACAAAAAACGACCCTGTGTCTTTCTGTGGGGTTTTCTTTTAATCCCCTCTTTTTAATTTATCATTAAGGACGGCCCCATTATTGTCTATGTTTTTGTCATTTCCGTCCTCGGGTACTGAAATGTTTTTTTCCTTCAAAGTTTTGTCTGTGGCTGCTTGTTGTTGTGGTCAGAAATCCAATAAGATTTGAATCATGAAAATATACAGTATATATCATGAGACTTTTTGCAAGTGAGAAGAGGGTGCCAATCAGTGGTGGCTCATGGGAACACAAAGGTCAGACATGAGAATGAACATTGTTCACCCCTTTAGGTGTGCATTCCTCGCGCCTGGTTTCACACCGGCTCCTGGGAAAAAAAAGGGCAGCATGAGTCTAAAATACTGAACCTGTGCAGAGTTCAGCAGAGCTGCGTTTCAAAGTTTAACACCCCAGAATCTTGTGAGAAATATTAAATTATCAAACATTACACATGTGTACATTTGGCCGATTCAAACTCAATCATTTAAAAAAATCTCTGCCTTTAACTTTGTGGTCCAGGCTCTAATGTGACGCTTTGTCATTTTCTTCTTGTATATAGTCCCCCTCAGTAGTCCTCCCCTGTGTCTAATTTCTACTATCACTAACATTACACACATGTAATTTATGTATGTACAATACCCCTACATGTGCCTCAGTTGACCTGAAGTGTGTGCAGTAAAGGTTAGAAGTTCATCAGTTCGGGCATCAGACCCTGGTTTTATGTTTAACTCTGGAGGTGAGCAGATTTCACACCCACGTAAGTGACACTCCTGAAACCAGCAGCTCTGACACCAAAGCCTGGGAAAGTCTCTGCCAGGCTGAAGCGAGGTTAAGGGGTTATCAGAGCATCATCACAACTCCCTATACGAGGTCTGCATATGAATATTCAGTTTATATCGACGCTCAGTTGTTAGCGTTTGCCCTGGAAAACACACTGTTGAATATTTGTCGTTACTTTACACCTCTTCAGTCTTTACACAGACTACATCAATTAGCTATTGACGTTTTATCCCAATATTTGGACAGTGAATTCTGGGTAAAATCAGTTTATTTTATTTTGAAAAGGTTTTGCATGTGATGAGAGTAAAGACTGTGCAGTGGAGGTCAGAGGTCCAGGAGCAGGCACAGGCCACCATGTCTCACATCACAAGGTGTGTAAACTTTGCACCCTGACAAACACCTACAGTTGATCCCGAGGGTTCCCACAGACCGGCATGAGAGCTCGGCACCGGGGACCGCCAGTTGAAGAGTTCAACTCACCAAGTCACAAATTCAAAATGTATATGTTTATACAATAATCTGCTAGAAACCAAAGCCTGCAGGGCAACATGATATCTTTTTTTTTACTGAGCATGGACTGAATAATAGATGACAGTGTGAAATTATATGATGCCTCCAGGTTCTTAACACATTTCAGTGGCTATAAGCGCACAAGCTACAATATCATATTTAAATAGTCCACCTTCTGTGCAGATCACAGACACTCTGGAATAAAGTTACACAATATATGTATGTAGTTTAAATCAACCTGTTCCTCAGTTTGCATTGAATCCCCCTAAACTGCTTCTACTTATGAGCTTTATATTCTGCAGCAATGATATTAAAAAGCGTGATTACCTAATGCTGAACAAATCATTCACATTTATTTTGTGATGATTTAAATTACTGCAAATCTGTGATTGTTGTCTTAGATATGTGCAAATGCAGAACAGTACCAGCTGAAATACCTGAAAAAAAGACTCTAATTATCATAGCTGGGGGCCCCGTCTTTAATGTAATAATCTTAAAAACACAGTGAGCCGACATTGTATTCACATCGCTTGACTCCAGATAGAAATCAGAAACAGATTTAGCTTAATTTGTGACACAATGAGAAATCAGACCATTTGTCAGAGCTCTGAATGTACATACACACAAACGGACAAACATGACTCTCAAAATCAGGACAAAACAACATATCCCTTAATAAGATCATTGGCTGTGTTTATTCTGTTGCGTGCACTCTGTGTATAGGCTTTGGAAGTAATGGTGTAAGGATCATGGGTATAAGCAGCAGAAGAAACAAAGGTTCAGCGGCGCTCCAAAACCTTATTTTGACCCCTAGTCTTTATAACGTATTTAAGTGACCCTGATAAAAATTCTACTGTCATTTTGTGTCCGATACATCTCATTGTTGTGTGTATGGCGGGAACAGTATTTTTTTAAGGTTTATTTTGGGGCTTTTTATGCCTTTATTAGAGAGATAGGAGCGTGGAGAGAGAGAGTGGAATGACATGCCAGAAAGAAGCCGCAACAGGTCGGATTTGAACCCAGGCCACCCGCTTAGAGGACTTTTTTTATTTATATTCTTTAGTTTTTTATGGAATGTCATAGGTGGACAGACCACCTATCCTCATGTGTATTATAATCAAAACCTAATAAAATCAGGAATTGTCTGTCACAGGACATGGACACCCATGTTTTCCCTTTAACTATCTCTTTACAGATCTCTATGGTCCCCTGACACTCGTGATTGACACCTTCCACGTGTCACGCAGTTTCCGCACTTCAGGCGACAGTGTGCAGGAAACTGCGCGTTTATCAGCCCACACACTTCTTCATGGGAAAAGAGCTGTTTGTCCACGGGCAACACCTTAATCCCTCTTTCCCTCTCTGTATTAAGAAACTAAGCCCACATATACTCTTCAACATATAATGAAGTGCGTTTGATTTTTTTAGACATTGTTCAGTGAAAAAATAGATCCACAGACCCATGTCTATGTTTATTTAGTGCTCTCAAATAGTTATTCCTAAAGTCTCACTTGTCTAATTAGATACTGATCAGTGTTGTAATGGAAATGACTCTCACTTTAAAAGTCTGTCACGCACAAACACGTGTTAAAGAAACACCTCCCCAAACAGCGACATTCATTTTAAATATTTTATTGCGTTTTTCAGCAAAATACAAAAGAGGTAGAAATGTTAAATGAATAATTTAAGCGTGCATTCTTGACAAAAGAAACTGGAATCTATTTACACATATTTACAGTAATAAGTTAAGAAGAATATATTATGACAATATGCAAAAGTTTGGGCTTCGCTCAGTTCAGCTCTTTCTCCATCTCCTCCTCTTCATCATCGCTCTCTTCATCGCTGCTGGAGTCTTCATACGGGCAGATGGTCGCTTGCACCGGATAGTTACGCAGCAGCATCTCTGCGTCCTGGTACAGATAATCGAAACATCTGGATTTGGGCCAGTACAACCTATGAAAGAAAAGAAAAAAAGTATATATAAATAAGATGTATTCAAATAAATTGGTTAAAAAGACAATTTAACAAACAGAACTTGACTTACTTCACTGGATGAACGACCTGAGGAGTTTTCGGTTGTTTTGAAGCAGAAAGGTCTCCGTGAATATGAGCCTGAAAGCAAAAAGAAAGCGATTAGTCTCGTTAGACTTTTCTATTCTTTGTATAGGCTTGCACAAGTTTGATTTTACAAACTCCCAAGGCGCCAGGATGTCTTAACTCACCTTCTGTACGGCACTTCTGTTCGCATCTCCAGTCCACGGTCTCCACAAACGACCAGGCTGTTGTGAAACATTGTTTCCAGTAAGAATAGAAGATAGTCCGCTGTTTGAAGTAAAAGTTTCCATGGTTCCTTGTGTCCTTGTGGCGGTCAGTCCTGCTTAAGGTCCTTAGAGGATGTGTGTCTGAAGGCATGCAGGAAGCCCCTTTTTATCAGGGGCCCGGGCTGCTGGTGCCAAATTGCGCTTTGACGCGTCCCCAAGTGTCTCCATGCGCCACGGTGGTGAGGTGCGAAATCACACTTGGGCAAACTCCAACCATATGGTCACTTTCTTTCATAATCTGATTTTTTTTTTTTTTAATTAAATGGACTTATCTGACTTCTTGAAACACATTTTCTATTTGAAAAATATTCTGGATCAGATGTTTAAGTGTTAGGCTTCCTGCTCTCTGCCTCCACATTACAGTCCATGTTATAGGTTTGAGCATAGAGCAGATGAATGATTAGGTGTAACAGGCCTATTAGAATCCGAAGAAGGAGCAGGTTTATTGCAAAGTATGTTTCACATACAACTAACCCAAGTGCATGGGAGTATACGTGCATAGCAATAAGAATAGAAAAAGCGTAAATAATAAGCATAATTAAACCTTACAATATTATCTTTATTTATTGAAAAGAGCTGTAGCTTGTGTTTTTTCTTTCGTTTTGATCCTTGCAAAAAAATCTGCATGCTCACAATTCTATAGTTCAATTAATACGAAGGCTACTATGTGCATTATATAATCCAAAAGATGGACTATAATGTAACCATCCGATCATGTCTGGTAAATTAGTTCAAATTCAAATAAACAAATCCCGAATCAAATCAGGTCGGTTTGTTAAAGTCTTGCTGATAACATCTTGCTGAACTTTGCATCCCCTTCACCTCTCATATCTCCCTCCGTCTGTGGAGCCATTTGCGTGTGTGCGAGGTGTGAAGAAACACGTGCCCTACTGTCAATTCCCGCTGAGTGCCGTGATGGAAGAAGGTTCGCGTGCATTTGGGGAGCGCGCGGGAGGGGGGTTGACACGCGTCAGCCTTTTGTGTACACAACAGCAGGAGGGAGGCGGGCGCTAACAGCAGGCTGAATGCATCACGATCACTCTCATATGGAAAACTTCATAATAGAGCTAATTTATGAGCTGCACGTGCCTGCCATTCATTAAAAAGATCCTTTGTGTTACATTGATTCAATTAAATACTCCCATTGTGTGTTTACCTTCAGTGCGCCACTAGGGGGAACTGTGGCGCTTTAAGATGGCATACAATTAATATATTACGTTATATTTGATATACAATCTAAAAGAAAGTGCTTTCATCAAGTGAAATATATTAGCCTGTGTTCAGCCTGTCTTCATTAACAGCTACTGGGTGCCACATTACAGAAAGTATGAATTGTTTAAAAGCAGCAGGCCTGCAGAGAAGGTGCCATGTAGTTAAAGGTGAACCGTGCATGACCAGCATTTAAAAAAAAAAAAATGCCCTCAAGCTCCAGCCACATCACAACACTTCTCTCCAGGGAGAGAACAGTCAAAGTTGGCACTAATAAGGTCCACATAGACCTCTCTCACTGGCTCTCTCTGTCCGTGTCATCTTCTCCTCTGTGGCTAATTGGACGCCTGCTTTATACTCCTGCAGGGTTTTTTTTTTTTTTTGTTTTTTTTTGCTAGACTGGATCCTTATATGGATCCTTCACATGCTCCTGTTGTATGTCCACATGACCTTTTCCTCCATGTCTACAATACAGGCAGGCTTATGCAATATACTAATGTAAACTAGGCTGCGTCTTTCATGTTTTTGTTAACATATGCTGGTCATCAAAAAATACACATTTCATGCTGTGAATATATTGTATAGTGCTTTTTGATGGACCAGTTCAAACTATGTGAAAACAGTAAACAAAAAGAAAAATACAAAGAACAGCTGATAAGAGGCCACTCACTGTCAGCGCTGAATGAAGCCAAATTTAATTTCCCCGTGGAAAAAAATACAACACAGTTTACACACACACACACACACACACACACACACACACTGTTAGAAAACACAAAACTTAATGTCACTCATTTTGAAGAATGAAGTTAACCAAGCCAAAAATAACAACATGCCTTATTGTTTTTATCAGTAATAATGAAAGATGTTATTATCAAGTGGAACAAGTTAGGCTGCAGCTCAAAAATCAGAAACGATGTCTCGCCTGTTTTAGACATTGAATGTCTTATTTCTGTTAAGAGACTGACTCAACAGTTCAAAGACAGCTATTTTAAGAGATCTCCTTTGATTTAGTTCTCCTCACATACACTATCCATCACTTCTATTGCACCACTCTAGTTTCAACTCTTTCTTTCTCTTTTGCTGCCTCTGGTTTATTATTCATGAGTCAAGTTCCCTCTTTTATTACCCTTCTGTCTTACAAAGGCATTCTATACTTGACTCCAAAAATCCCTTCTCCATGGAAACAGCCACGGCAAATATTTCCTTGAACTATTCAGTTATTACTTTCTTATCACTGCATCACTATTACTGATTCTAATCATTCCCCCAAATTATCATGAATTATTTTTTTAATGCAAATATGGTTTTTGGGCATGTTTCTTATGTGTCTGCCTGGTTCCAGTCTTCATCTTTATTTTGGGCATCTGATCTGATCTCGTCTAATCTGTTTTGGTTGAGAGCGATAAAATGAATAAGACTTGCACTCCAGGACACAGATTGACAAACATGCTCTCCTCTAATGTCCCAGTGTTCGCAGAATTTCTCAGGTTCGCATCTTTTCCTCGGACTTCAGTTGACAGGTGGTTGATCGGAAAGAAAAATACACAATGTTCCCAAAATTATATCTGTTTTCTTGGAAATGAGAAGATGGCAATCTATGATTTGAATTTCAAAGAAAGGTATCATCTCGCAGATTATTTAATAATTGAAGGACATGTGAAAATAATTAATGTTCAAAAGTCATATAATAACACTTCTTCTGGAATCATCTACCAGTCAGGCTCTGGGAGGCAGACACACTCTGTACTTTTAAGAAAATACATAAAACTTTGCTTTTTGATAAATGTTATAGTGAGGGCTGGCGCAGGTGGCTGTTCCAGCATGAGCCTGGATTTGCCCAAGATTTATTCCTGTTAAAAGGCAGCTTTTTATTTTCCCTGTAGCTTTTATTGAAGTGCTGCGCTCATGATGAATTAAGCTGGGTCTTCTTAATAAAGCAATGAGTAAGGTCTTTTACCTGCTTTTTGTAAAGTGTTTCGAGATAACACTTGTTATGAATTGGTGCTATACAAATAAAGATTGATTTATTGATTTCAAGTCTTGTTAAATGAGGTTCAAACACACAGTATAAAGTTAGTCCTCTATAGGAAATGTTAGACAAACACAGAATAAGAGGTGCAGTAAGTTTACTCCCCCCCCCCCGTTGAGTTCCCACTAAATCAGTTCCCTCTAAACAAGCAGATTAGGGTTCACACAGGTTCACCAAATGGAGAGGTCCTCCATTATTGATTTAAACCAGCTTGGAGAGGACTGACTTGAAAAAATATCTAAAAATATCCAAAAAAACTTCAATTCTTGACAGAGCTTTACTCCTGGTTTTCACTTGAAGCTAAATTACTCAGAACTGGCGCCTGCTGGGACCTTGCAGGCTCGTGGATGCCTTGAATCTATGAACTCCCATTAGAATGTTATTACTTAAGCACCAAAATATCATCTGAGACAGAAAAAATACTAGTTTGAACAGTCAAAATAACTATTGGAGCCCTTCAATGTCACTGTCACGTCAATGTCTTAACAGAGCAAACTATGACAAGTTAACCTCACCAATATGACTGCATACCAATCGTGAGGTTCTTCACTGGTTCTTCCTGTGATCACTTGAGACATGAAGCATGAAAAATTCATGTATTTTATGATCTACTTTCATTCCATGTTTGAACTGGTGATTAGCTAATGCGAGCTCAGAAACCAACCAAAGAAGATTTCAGAATTGAACATCATCAATCCCACGGACCATGACATGAATCAACATGAAGTTACCTTGTGCAACAAAAGCACATTTGATCACAAGTGAACTATGTGGAACATGAATTTACACATTTTCTTGGTGTGACATGTGACGCCTATTTACATTGAAGATACCGGCTCCATGTTTTCAACGTGTGACCGCATATGGATAATATAGGAAAGTCATGTGTATTTGATTAATGTGTGCAGATGGATTCTTCTAGCTTTGTAACTTGTTAAACCACACATCAAAAACACATTAATTTGCAATGTTTTCCATACATCATGTGTGTGGTGAAGGAAAAAAACAAAGTCTAGCACTTGGGCAGAATATGGATGAGGTAATGAGCCATCTTTGCTTCTTTTTTTTATTATTTGAGTTCGACCCTAAAACCTGGGCATGGTAGCAAATGTTCTTTTTAGATTGAATGTGTCTCTTTTCTCAATCTTTTAAAATTGTCTGAGTTCAAGCAGTCATGCGGATGAAGTCAGACCTTGGGTCAGTCCTTTGTCCAAACCCATTCAGTATCATTGTCTGCTGGACCTGTTATAGGTGGTTAAATGTATCTGTGTGAATGTTGTATGATCCACATTTTTGTTCGCATTGTTTTTTTAAATTGAACTTCTACTTCAATTATTGGGCTTCCTTGGTGCATTTTTATTAGTTGCTTTCATCTTGAATAAGCCAGTATATTTTTAGTAGATTTATTCTTTTATCAGGAGTTTTTACCTTAATTTGCCTTGTTTTGGTCTGATTTGGACTGTTCCAGTTTGTCAAAATGTACACTTTTTTTTTTTTCTAATAATGAATTCCCTTTCATGACAATTCGATGTTCAACAACTTTTGAACTTTAATGTTGAGCTCAAACGCACTTTGCTTTGGAAACCATATGAGGAGGATACTGCTCTTGGGAAATACCCTCACAGAATACCAAACCAACAATGACCACCAAGGCAACTGAACTCTATCTCAGTTTAATTTAGTGTTGCCCTGGAAACCAACAGATGTGGTAAAAGTGTAGTGGTGCAAGAAGACAACATGGTCTAGATAAAAAGTGAGGACAACATAAATAATTTAAAGTAAA